CCAGATGGGCAATTTAAATCTCTTTTAGTTTTTGACATGTAATGGTCCTATGGTCTCAGACATACTTTCACAAATCTTTGCTTCACTGGATATGACCATGGGAACACAAAATGTCAAAATTAAACAAAATAAGAGTTTATCTTCTTCCTAATGAAATACATTTACATTTTCCAGCAGAAGATTTGTTTTGATCTGACCATGAAGTTGGCATATACATGATACAATTCTCATGTATAATCAGTTTCACTCAAATACAAAACATTTGAATACAAAACTTTAAGCAAACATCCTTTATGATTTTTTAAGATTCTGAAAACTGTCCAGTTAGTTCATGCTTTCGAATAGTGCTATATAATTTGATGAGTTGAACATATTACATTAATGTGAAACTTAAAATGTATTTTAGACATAATTATGTAATTATTCTGAACATACGTCCTCTACAGTCATCAAAGTCTATTATCACAGGTCTCCCCAGTATTAATAAGCAACCAGGTGGTTTATCCTGTTGAAAATTGGGAAATAACATACCACCCTGTTGAAAATCTGTTCACACCCTAAAATAATGAAATAATGTGATATTTTTACGAAAGCAGGTAAAACTAGGATTAAGCACACTGGTGGTTTAAAAAATCTTGAGAGATAACTAATTATTGTGATCATGAATAGTTAAATACTGTATCAAGTTGTACAATATGCATATAATTGTGAGTAAATAAAAGGTGTACATAAAATTATTAAGATCAAATATAAACTGTTGTGTTAAAAGTAATGGATGTAATGTAAAATGTACATGTAATGTAAATTAATGTAAATATTTTAAAGAAGTTAATTTGTGGTAGTGTTGTGTCAATACACATCCTTAAAATTGCAGAAAGTTCAAGTCATGTTCATCACATTTGGGACTCATGTTCTAGCAAAGGAATTTCTCTTATTTTCATCAAATTCACCTACGATGCATTACTATACAATAGAGGGATGCAGTTACACGTTTTTTGGGAGAATATGAGTGTCTTTCCCTTTAAATCTCTTTATTCAGGGGACACACACCTTATACTGTTTACCATTGAGCAAAGCAAGAGAATAATCTTTCTTCAAGTTTTACATTCTTCAAAATAGTGTCCTTTCTATTATGTCTTTATGATTGCAAATGTTCATCAGATTTTATAGAGATTTGTAAAAACACTATTTCATTTATTCCTATTGTAGATAATACCTTGAATGGTTTTAACCATATAGAGGCACCAAAGCAGAATGAGTAGACTCTCTTTGGCTTGGACTCTATTGCTTTTGGAATATTGCAATTTTTTCGAGAACAATAATTTAAGATTGGTTGTCTTTTTCTGTAGATTGCAATAAGTGTGAAAGATGGCATATTTCATCATAAGGCCGTATTCAATTCTTTATAAACAAGTAAATAGCAAAGGCATTAAAAGATGGCATGTTGGGGATAAACCAGTAATACACCGAGATGTTTCTACCGGACTCTTGATTTCAAATGCATTTTATTTTTGAATGCCATTGTAAAGTTTCAAACTGGTGTATTATTTGTCCATTTTAATAACAATTCGAAAGGATGCTTTGCACCCTATGCAGACAGAGCCTGTGGGAAATATTGGGTGCGGCGCAAATGAGCGGAGGGTGCGGAGCTAACGGTCATTTTTGAATTTAAAATTGGGATATTTCTGAAACTAAGCCGTTTTGGGACTTCAAATATACCAAGATATGTGTATTTGACACCAAATATCAATAATATTGTGAAAATAGTAGTGCAATTCATTTTATAGCGACGCAGTATGCCTTAAACATTTCCCAGGCCTATATATTTTGAGACTATCCTTTTAATACTGCGTCCCCAGCATTCATAAAAAATGGTGTTCAAGATACACTACCCATGCAAATTATTTTTGCATCTTGGAAGCCAGGCAGTATCTGTGTGATTTTATAAAAATTCGGAAATGTTCTTCAGATATGAGCCCCTCTAAATATTGGGTGCGGAGCCAAGGAGGATTGGAAGCCAGGGTTCCAACTCGATATTCTTTAATCTCCACGCATGCGTCATTTGCTATTCGTGTCTGTATAATTTGTACGACTGCATGGAGAATGACCCGATACTCTCCAACAAAGCTATCGCTAGGTGATTGTTTTGCAGAATATCGGTGTTGCATTCTGGGAGCCAATCCTCCTTGGTGCGGAGCTACGTTTATGGAGCTGCTCCGCACCCAATATTTAGAGGGGGCTCATATCTGAAAAAAATTCCGAATTTTTATAAAATCACACAGATACTGCCTGGCTTCCAAGATGCAAAAATAATTTGTATAGATAGTGCACCTTGAACACCATTTTTTATGAATGCTGGGGACTCAGTATTAAAAGGATAATTTCAAAATATATAGGTCTGGGAAAGGTTTAAGGCACACTGCGTCGCTATAGAATGAATTGCGCTACTATTTTCACAATATTATTGATATTTGGTGTCAAATACACATATCTTGGTATATTTGAAGTCCCAAAACGGCTTAGTTTCAGAAATATCCCAAATTTAAATTCAAAAATAACCGTTAGCTCCGCACCCTCCGCTCATTTGCTCCGCACCCAATATTTCCCACAGGCTCTGTCTGCATAGGGTGCTTTGGAAGCATTAATTGGGATGGCCACATTATGTGTTTCATCATGTCAGATAAATAGAATTACAGATGGGCATTTGTCTAGAATTATGGTCCCCTCGAGATAAGATATCCCCTTCGTCTGGCAAAAACAATTGAAATGGGAACATTAAACCCCGGGGTATTAATATTACGCGTTCCCGTACGAGCTCGTACGTTACCTTAAAAAGTGTTGCCTAATCCCCACTTCCTAATATGACATCTTGAGTACATGTATCATTGATCCGTAGGTCTCGGCAAAATGCTCATTTGTTTTGTAAGTCCGCCAACAATTCTTTGAATCCCATACCTAAATCTTTAGCAAAGCCTCATAGACCAAAACCGAATTTTGGTGCTTTAAATTTGTAAATTCTTATAAAGTTCAGTACTAGTTCGGGCTACTAATTTAAATAGTAGGAGATGGATATGAACTGTTTTATTTCATTTCCACTCTCAGATATCATTTAATCAGTAGCTAGCGGAGTTAGCTTTACCTTCTTTATGTTCAAGTTTCAGATTCAGTTTTTCTCTCATCTTTCGGATATCATTAACCAGTGCAGAGGGTTGAAAGATACTGTGGGTACTGAATGTGGGCCCAGTGATTTTCCTTTTAAACAATATTCTGGATTTCAAGCAACAGCAAGATTAAGAAATAGAAAAAAACAATTCGTGCTTTAATAAATGTTTTTACTGAGCGATTATTACAACGTGAGAATTACTTTGAACTCCACTTAAAAGAAATGTTTAATAAATAGATAAAAGTGATATAACTGTCAATTTCTTTTGATTATTGCTTGATCGTTTTATAATATCAATTGCGGGGGTGGGGTTTGTGAACATTTCAATACGACGCATTTTTTCTTCATCCTGAATATGACACGATTGGAAATGGGGAAATAAACATTGTTGATAGTTTTACTCTCATTTAATAATGACCTGTATTTGTGATCTTATCTTAATGTTGTAGTTTAGCAAAAATAATAGAACATATTGTTGACGGTTTAAGTAGTTGCATTTTACCAAATGAATATATTTTTATTAATTACAGCGCAGGGTAATTTGCCGATAATGATATTGTAAATAGCAAGAAAGGAGATATAAACCTCTCATCACTGTGATATGTTGCTGATATACGTCTTTATTTGAAGCACTGACCAATGATCAGATGACGGTGTTAGATTGCCAGAAGAGTTCTGGCAAAGCTTACTTTCATTTCAACTATGAATCACTGAGTTTCTCAAAATATTAATGAAAATGGAAAATTTCCTTTTAATTTAGCTATTGAGTTTTGGTAGCTTGCTAATAGTATCGGAAAGGCATTGAAAACAAGAAACCAGGCTATATTTCCTCTGTTCTAAGTCAATAATTCTATCTGATATATAGGCGACGGACCTCATTTCACATAAAGTAGAACATTTCGATTTATAGTTCATTTCCAGCGAAAATGGATATAGAGAAATCCAGCTATAGATTACCACTGTTTGAAAGATGAATAGTTCTTTATTACACAGGGCATTAACAAGGTAAAAACACATGTTATTTCTGCGTTCCGATAAACCTTACTAGCCCGGGGCCGGATGAATTCACGAGTGGTGAAGGAAAGAGAATACAAGAAAACACGACCTTAGATAAAGTAAAACATCTTTGATAAAAGGTGTGAGGATGCTGAAATGATCCGGAACAGATACCGACGCTCGGTCTTAAATCTTTCTCTGATTATAAAAGGATGATTTAGGTCCCGTATCACGTGTCTATATCACTGTTCTGAGTTAGTAGTTGGAAAAATGCGGGTATTGGCTCAGCAGATCACAGAGAAGAGCGGATCCCTAGCAGATCTGTTTCTACAGCAGCGAAAGCAATACTAGGAATCAAATGCGCTATGTCTGATTTCACAAGTTTTGCTTTGTTTGAAAAAAGCTTAAGATCCCAAGGATTAAGTATTCGCAGATAATTTGGATAAATACACTTATAGAACACAAACCAACTCCAAGTCCTAACATATGTGTTTAACATCTAGGATGTGATATTGGCAAATCGTGTGGATTATTTAGCGCAGAAAAAGCTAACTTGAAATTAAATCAGTTTGAGTTGCCAATCGGCCACTACCGAGAGCTAAGGCTTGTTGATGGAAGAATTGCAATTGATTCTTAACGACATGGAAACACGATAGACTTGTAAAAGAAGTCTTGTTTCATCTAAGGCATGATGGCTACTCTGGGTCATTTAAAAAACAGAAATACAAAAAAGAAATCGAGTCCGCAGAATCAGTTACAGGATAAGACACTATATGAAACGCTATAGATTCGAGAAACTGAGTTTCAACTGCAACATAAAAAAGCTTAGTAACTTTCAATTATGATGTCAATTTACTATATTTTGACTTTCCTTGGAGTTTTATTCCTGGGATTAAGCAAAGGGGACGATGTTCAAAAGTTGTACCTGGCTGGACTATTCCCCCTATCCAAGGAGGCAGGTGACATAGGACTCGGAGTCCTCCCAGCTGTACAAATGGCTATCGAACAAGTCAATGCAAATCGGACATTACTTCCTGGTTACGAGTTGGAGGTGATTGTCGAGGACACCCAGGTGAGTGAACAGTTAAACTTGGAAATTCTCAAAGTTGAGCAAACAAGCCTTTGTTATATTTTTTATCCAATTATGCTTTTTATAATGTAAATTAGATATCGTGATTTTGCTTTGAGAGACGTTTAAGTTGTATATTTACATTCGGCCTGCATGTTTTCAAATTGAAAATCTGTTTTTGTAACAAAACTGTTTGTGTTATGCAACGGATTTATAAACATCTTGCCCACATCAACAATGATATAATTTGTGTTTTTGTTTATGGTATGAACACGAGGTGTGTCATTTCTCATATCAACAATTATGCGTTGCTGCACGCGTCTTTATACGAGTGGTGCTTTGGCTCGACATGACATGACGCCGCTTCGGATCCACATGACATGACGCCGCTTCGGATCCACATGACATCCACATTTTTCTCAGTGTGACTATTCAATACAGAGGTTTGATTATCTCATTGTGCTTTTACGTCAACGTATTAATAAAGCAATAAAATATAATTTATAGTTAGGATGTGGTTATATTTTATATACATATGCATATCATGTCGTGCAAACGTTGTTATCGTCATGGCTGGTATAACATGTGTATGTTAATGTCGGGTATAACCTACTTAGAGTCAATAACAAAGTTACGATATTGTTGGGAGTGTAGGTCGTCCAATGGATTTGGCGCAATTCGATTTGAAAAATCTGAGAAATGACTGGGTATACGTGGGATATTCGCCGTGATATTAGCACTCGGAACACAAATGAAAATTAAATGGAATATAAGGCGATGGAAAAATGCGCCAGCTTTCAATAATCGAATTCCCTTGGAATAAAAAGTTAACGGCGGATCCATAGGATGTCAAGCAATTCTCACTAGAGGCTATCATTTTGTCGTACTCACTGCGAGGTGTTGGTTCAATACCGAACGGGATAATTTGATCACTTAGGGGTCTGGATTCCTATAGTTGAGAATTATATTGATATTTTGATTTATGTGTACTTATAGTATGTGACATCGGTCGGTCTATACTAACAGGAATTCAATACTCGTATAGGAGATAATGTAAATTGTCATAAGAGCCGGTAATAATTAAGGCTAATCATAAGTAAATACTCGCGCCCCATAACAGTTTGTAATATACAATAAAAGTCCGGCCATTTATTGTGATTATTAATCAGAATCAACAACTTATTGGGTTTGATCATTTGGCACTACCTTCTCCAGTTCCCACTGACTCTAGTAGAACATATACTGCAAACAATAATTTAATTAAAGACGCAGACCGATCCTGTTCGATCTCAGTTATAAAGCAACGTTATGTAGATGGGGAAGCAATTCTCGAGTACAGCAAAATATGCAACTTAAGTATTTTAGCAATATTTTTGGCAAACACCTTTAGGGTGATTACCGTTTACACCTGCTTAATTAATAAGAGAATATTTTGTAAACACGACGAGCAAATCTTCAAACATGTATTCTTACCAGGAGTAAACCTTTATCAAGAATCACTGCGTTTCTGCCCCGTGTCTGCTTTTTCCACATAGGGCAACTAAATACCTCTCAAAACGTGTCAAGCCCTCCGATTGTACTTCTTATACGAGAATCTAGAAAGACTTATTGATTAATACAAACGTATTTTGGATCACCTTGACTTTTCATTTGCATTTATAAGCGTTTCTTTGAATGGGGTTTCCCACCAACATCTATCGCAAGTTGTGAAAGGCAATTATCAACTATACAGTGAATTTTATCACCTTTGTCTACTTACGTAGATACTGCGGTTATATAATAGCTTCGTAAATCTGCATGGAATGTTAAACATACGATAAATTTTTATTGTACGTCTATACGTTTGTTTGTTGTTTTTTGTATTTTGAAGTTATTTGTGATGTCATGAAGAGACACTTTTATATTATTGTTTGCTAAAAGAAACGCATACTTGTCGGTGAAAAACTATTTTAAAAGAATATTTCATTTTCTCTTTGCGATTGATATTGTGTGTTAGTATTAACAAAAAAAAACATTAAAAACATTCGTCGATTCGCTGATATTACACATAACCCCTACCCTTTGCATTCGTTTGACTTCACTTCTTAAAAGAGAGCTTCGTCTTGTAGTTTAACTAGACTCTGCACGCAGGGTACATAACCCCTTGCCTTTGCCAAGATGTCGTCGAACAAAGTCACGTATGGTTTAACACCTCTGTCCCAGCCTGAGGCCCGGGTATACTGTCATTAATAAAAAACAAAAACAGTCTTATTCTTATCCATTAAGCTTATAAAAAAAATCAGTCTTATTCTTATACATGTAAGTAATCTCTCAGTATAATATGCATGTATACACCACGCATTATCTGTACACAAGGGGAGATTTTAAACATTTTTGACGTATTCCTGGGCCTCAGGTCCCAGCTATCTTTGTAATTGAAATATATGTAGTTAAGAACAGAATCATGACTTCACACATAATCTGGAAATACTATTCCACGATAGGATGAAAAGTCCAACAAGTCATATTGAAAATAGAGGCACCTTTGCCACGGGCGGTCACATTTATGATCAAACTAATTACAGAATTCAGAAAAAGAGAGGTTGATTCTCACATTGTTAATCCCATATATCCTACGCCTATTGTATGAATAGAAACAGAAATTCTCGCAATGAAATGCATATTAAAAACGCTCCACATAAAGTGTTAAGTGGAATAATCTCCTCATCATTCATTTAGTGACAAGATGCATTTACGGCGTTCCCAAAACAATCACAGAAGCTGACAGTAATACTGTATCAGTAATATTCTCTCGTTACCTTTCATAAATGTTTCATTCATATCAGTTTAATTGATTTGTGTAGCCTATATTGTACTTAAATAATACTGGGAGGTGCTGAGATATGACTACGTTCCCGGGGGAAGATATTCGAATTCAACAAAACCCATTTTCTAGGAAGTACATGTAGATGGGATAGAAGCAATCTTTTGATATCTACGCCAATGTTCCCCTTACAACTTTAATTACTCAGATGCGACTAGGTTGTTACCAGTTTCGCCACCAGGTTGCTGATTCAGGTTAATTAACATGAGTCCCTTGACATGAGTCATAGCAGATATGAGAAAGTTCCCTTAAACTTGAATATTATCAGTTTAAGTGGATCAATTTCCATATAATCCTATGTGTCTGGTACTGTACAAACGAAAATATGCCCAGTAAAAGAAAATATCATCTAAAGAGATATTTCACTTTTTGTGATTTTGTAACATGGGGTCTATGGGGAATCCCCTCGACCTCGAAGTCACATTTTCAAAGAAGATTGAATTTTCAAAGTTGGTAAATACTTTTTTAAACCACATTTCTCGATGCATTTTACATGTAGACTTCAAATATGTCATCCCTTAACCATATTTTGAATATTTAATGAAGTAAATCAAGTTTATTTCTACTCGCATCTTGTATATTGATCAAAAATATTTCCAGATTGATATTGCAAATTCGACATATTAATTTCTTTCATACTTATATTTTATGGATGGTATCCACTACTTTCAAAACAATTAACAAATGACATGTAAGTTGTTCCACTTGCCGAATGAACATGTCCTCATATCAGTCTTTTCAGGTCTTTTAGTTTATAATTGCTGTGGAAAAATATGAAGTTTCTTCATCTTAGCTGAGGACAAGGATTACTTTCAAGTAATCAAGAATCTTATTGTTAAGCTATTGATAATTTTTAGAGTGATTACTTGAACTATTCATTGGTCTAATTATCCCAGGCATTAATGATCCGATCAGAAATCAATTTTAGTTGGTTGTATTATAGGTCGACCAGGTGAATACAGAATTTGGTGATAATCACCCCTCCCTCTCTCCCTCCCTCAATTGGTATCGCGATCGATCTCTCCAAAAAGATGCATTTGAGATGAAAAAATAAATCCCTCTTATCGGGTCTAGGACTCTTCAAGTTCAGCGTCTCCTTACAACTTGTCAGAGTGGTTGAGGAGGACCTGAGGTTGTCGACATCGGATCGATTGTCGGCCGTTTCATAGTAGATAAGATTGGCAGAGTTCCGAAAAACTTAATAACTAGTTGTAATTAATTTGATATAAAATTCATGAACCAATATATTTCTATTGAACCCGGTTCGTATTTATTCCATCTTGACCTGAATATTTGTCCGTTTTGGTTATTTCATTGTGAAGACCTTTGATTAACTGTAACTCAGCTTTTGTTTGACCATGGACTTATAAAATTGGACTGGAAACTATTGACAATATAGTTTCGGCTAATTAGTATAATTATATAGTTGATGTACTTTCAAAAAGTTTGTCACTCTATGATCTCAGTGATATTACTTCATTTATTTATCCCAAAGATTACTCCCCGATTTCAACGATTATTTATTTTGGAACAGTAGGAGGGGTGATCAATAAGTAATGGACGCTTTTTACACAGATGCCTTTTATACACCAATCTCTTTTTTGCCAGTGATACATCATTCAATTAAATCAACTCTGAAAAGAAGACAATTTCTGTGAAGGAACTAGGTACAGGTACCGGCCGGGACCGACATAACGTCAATGTCACACATTCTGAAGCTAATTAGTTATTAATTAACATGCAATGCAGATGACTGCAGGTTGAACAAAACAAACCATGAAGGTCATGAATTATACTTTTTCGATACACCATCATTGATTTTGAATATGTTGTCATCACTATGTGACATTCATGCCACATTCATTCTACAAATTAGCATATAAATTCAAAATATAAATGTCGGTCCCATTAACATGTATTACATATTTTGTCTTCAAATCTTTACCCTTTGCATTCGTTTGACTTCACTTCTTAAAAGAGAGCTTGGTTAGTTTAACTAGACTCTGCACACAGGGTATCAAATCTTGAGAGATAGACAATTATTGATCACTAACCCCTCGTATACGTAAATGCATATATTTTTCTCCGTAGATTCCTTGGTGGAACAACATTATTCTTCATATATAATTAATTCATTATA